AGTTGTTTTAGATTTTGAGTGACAATTTTACGGTATTTGCAACACAAGCCAGTTGTTTTAGATTTTGAGTGACAATTTTACGGTATTTGCAACACAAACTAGTTGTTTTAGATTTTGAGTGACAATTTTACGGTATTTGCAACACAAGCTAGTTGTTTTAGATTTTGATAGAGAGTGTTATGGTACTAGCAACACAATAAGGTCATGTAAGTGCTGGGGATTAGATGTATTACAAGAGAGTAACAAACACAAAAAAGGAGGAAGCGAGAGAAGGACAGCTTTTGATAGGAAAGAAGGAGCAAACCGCACCAGAGCACCCCCCTACCACCCACTGAGAGACCGGTGGCCCGTAAAGTGACAAGACAAGAGAGAAAAAAGTCGCCATGGTCCACAGATCCCGACCTGAAACCGTAGTTGAGAGCGTCCTCGGCAGAGATGACCCCAATGTCCACGGTGCGGGCCTTCCAGATTCTGTTCTCCGTGAGCAGGTCGTCGACCTCGTCCAGGCGCTGGCCAAACTGGGCCATCCAGTGGTGGATGTCCTCCATCAGACCCAGCGGCATGTCCTGTCCCACACAGATACATTTGTTTTAGTTGAGAGTTTTACGGCACTTGCAACATAATTAGATCATATAAGGGCGAAATATTTGAGGTGTTGCGAGAGAGTAGGAGACCCAAAAAGCAAGGAGAGATTAGGACTATCAGGGGGGTTGGGGGGTGGATGTCCTCCATCAGAGCCAGCGGCATGTCCCGGGGACACACGGACACACGCACAACAAGATGTTGGTACCAGGGCTTTCTTGTTGCAGGTACTTGCAACACAATCAGGTCATATGAGGGCCAAAGATTTCAGGTGTTGCAAGAGAGTAACAAACACAATCAGGTCATATGAGGGCCAAAGATTTCAGCTGTTGCAAGAGAGTAACAAACACAATCAGGTCATATGAGGGCCAAAGATTTCAGGTGTTGCAAGAGAGTAACAAACACAATCAGGTCATATGAGGGCCAAAGATTTCAGCTGTTGCAAGAGAGTAACAAACACAATCAGGTCATATGAGGGCCAAAGATTTCAGCTGTTGCAAGAGAGTAACAAACACAATCAGGTCATATGAGGGCCAAAGATTTCAGGTGTTGCAAGAGAGTAACAAACACAATCAGGTCATATGAGGGCCAAAGATTTCAGCTGTTGCAAGAGAGTAACAAACACAATAAGGTCATATGAGGGCCAAAGATTTGAGGTGTTGCAAGAGAGTAACAAACACAAAAAGAAGGAGGGGAGATAAGGACGATAGATGTTTGATAGGAAAGAAGGAGCAAACCCCACCAGAGCACCCGCCAACCCCACCAGAGCACCCGCCATAAACCATTCAAAGCTGAATTGAGGAAAAAAGGGAAAAAAACCGGAGACATCTCCACCCCCTCCTTGGCCCGGAGCACCATCAGAGGAACAAATGTTGAAAAACTTGTTACACAAGCAAAAAGCCCCAGACTTTGAGGGTTTCCAGAAATCTTGACCTACACCAAAAGTGGGCATTACCCTACCTATAGGAGAAGTTTGGTTACACTGGTGTGTATATTTGTTTGGTTATAGAGAAAACTCTCCTTGTCTTTTAAAGAAACTGAACAAGGGGCAAAAACTTTACCTTCCATTTTCTTTAAACAGCATTTTTCGGGACAGCCCCCTTGTGCTTAAAAGCAATCATTTCTTCCATTTTCTGTTTCAGAATTGGGACACTTAAGGGTTTTGTAAACGGTGCCTTTGATACACATTCTTCTCAAGGTCACACGCAGGTCATGGGAAGCTACTCACCAAGGACACACCCCCGGGGCGGAAGTAGGCAGCGTGCAGACGCGCCCCCGACACACGCTCGTAAAACTCCATCAACTGAGGACACAAGCAAACACGATGAGTTATTTTTGGTTTCGTTTTTGGTATGAGATTTACAGCACTTGCAACACACATGGGTCACACAAGAGCTGAAGACTATGGGCGTTACTATGAAGAAATGTACACCAAAAAAACAAAGAAAAAAAGAAAAAGTAGAGAGATAAGGACAATATCTGTTTGATAGGAAAGAAGGTGCAAACTACACCAGAACACCTTCCAACCACCCAGTAAGCTACATCACTGCATGGAGTCACCCCATCATTTCCCCTTCTGGCAAAGACCACACTGACATTTATCGAGACAGCAGAAGACCAGACCTATGTGAGGCAGCGTGGTGAAATCAGGCGCTTGCCAAAATTATGAAATTACATGAACAGGCATTTTCCCTCAAGTATGGCAATTTTGGCCTAATTTTTGTTTTTTGGCTCAACACCTGTTATGTCCATACATATAAAAATACATTTTCTACCAAGGGAATTTGACAGAAAAACGCTGATTACCAACACAAAATAAGTAAATTTTCAGTTTTCAAGGACTCTCAGGCTGTAGAAGTTACCCACCTTCTCTCTCTCCTCAAAGAGCCAGAAGAAGGGTGTCATGGCGCCGATGTCCAGAGCGTGGGTGCCCACAGACATGATGTGGTTCCGGATCCTTGTGATCTCGCCAAACAGAGCTGAGGGGAAAGTAGGTCACGGAGGTCAGAGCACGGCACGCAGATTTGTGGGCTGCCCAGTCATGACGCGGTTGGGGTTTTATTTTTGCTTTTGTCTGTCTTGGCTTTGACAGGGTTCCTGCCACCAACTCCCCTCCAAGTTCAAGGAGAATTTCAAGGAGAAATGTTAAAAATTCAAGGAGACTTGGCATATTTCCGATAGGCCTACATTTGTCCAAAAGGAATCCTAGTTCCAATTTTCTGACAAAAATTTTGTTCATGTCCGATCCGGCGAAGTTCCTCAAATCCAAGAAGTTTTCAAGGAGATTTTTTTTTTCTGGAATGCAAATTCGAGGAGTGTTCAAGGACTCCCTGAATTCAAGGTGGTCGCAGGAACCCTGCTTTTATATGTTGGCGTTTTTATACCCCCATCAACACAATTTAGATCATTTAGGAGGCTGGCTTCTAACCCTGTCAGTTGGGGGTCAACCCGTCCTGAGAGGGGCACAACATCCCAGCAGAAAAACCCAGATACTCAATACAAATTTCTCCCCGCCCAGGAATAGGACTTGGATCTCCTGCTGGCAAAAGCAGAGCCTGTATCCACTACAGCACAGATGCTGGAGGCAGGTTTGTGGGCCATTGAGTCAGTTTAGTTTAGTGTTAGTACGGTTTTACGGTGCTCGCAACTGAATAAGGTCGTATGAGTGCCAAGGGGTGGATGTCAACAGAGAAGTCCAAACTGGGAATCAGACTTACTCTGCTCACCTATCTAGCTGCAACAGCACAAATCAGGTGCTTGGGTAAAGATAACGGTCAATGGTAAAGAGTATTTCCATGCCTGTAACAGTCAATGACAAAAAGTATTTCCATGTCTGTAACGGTCAATGACAAAAAGTATTTCCATGCCTGTAACAGTCAATGACAAAAAGTATTTCCATGTCTGTAACGGTCAATGACAAAAAGTATTTCCATGCCTGTAACAGTCAATGACAAAAAGTATTTCCATGTCTGTAACAGTCAATCACACACGACCTGACACTGAGTGGGGACAAAATAAGGTACTACGAAACAACAAACATAGGTCACAAACGTTACTCCTTCTGAGCGTTCTTCAGTCTGATACATGTCAAGACACATGACGCTATACATCCACCATCCTGACACATACGACGCTATACATCCACCATCCTGACACATACGACGCTATACATCCACCATCCTGACACATACGACGCTATACATCCACCATCCTGACACATACAACGCTATACATCACCATCCTGACACATACGACGCTATACATCCACCATCCTGACACATACGACGCTATCTATACATCCACCATCCTGACACATACGACGCTATACATCCACCATCCCGACACATACAACGCTATACATCCACCATCCTGACACATACGACGCTATACATCGACCATGGTGACACATACGACGCCATACATCCACCATCCTGACACATATATATGAGACTCACTTCTGATCCACTTGGCCCGGGGTGGCACCTCTATGTTCATCAATCTCTCAATGGCCAGACAGTACGCCTGCTCGTTACACAACATGGACACGTAGTCCAGCCGGTCGAAATACGGCAGTGCCTGCACACACACGCACAAACAAGAAAAGTTTCATTTTAGTCCGAGTTTTACGGCACTTTCAACACAATATGGTCATATAAAAGCCGAAGATTAGAGGTGCTACAAGAGAGTAACAAACACAAAAGGAAGGAGGAGAGATAAGGACGATATGTGTTTGAGGGGAAAGAAGGCCGGAGCAAACTACACCAGAGCACCCGCCAACCACCCACAAACAGAATTATAAATGTTCTATCTGACATATTTGGTGGTTTTGAGTTACCAAGACCATGAGGTCAGAAACCAAATGTTCTATCTGCTCTATCAAAATCGTAAGATTATTCGGAGTCGTTATCAAGATATTCAAAGACTCGCATTTGACAAAGCTTGACATGTTGTGAAACTCAAAATCTTTAACGTCAAATTTCTCAAAAGTAGGAACTGAGCAGATAAAAAACTTTGTTTGCAACAAACATTCTTATGTTCTTACCTTCTCGCAATCCTGAAACACAACGTAAACTTTAACCCTTTACTTTCCCGTTTACATTCTTCGCTAACAATGGCAGCCTATCCCTTTCCCTTCTGCAGTTCACATGTTTGGTGTTTTAGTACAAATTTTACGGCACTTGCAACACAGTAAAGTCATATGGCAGATTTCACGGTAAGGGCCTGGGAGACAGTTTGAAACTTTCATTTTGAATAAAAATTACCAAAAACATCACTTTGCTATTTGTTTTGTTTTATGTCATTGTTTGAACGATTATTAAACAGGAAAATCAAGAAAATGTGTTTGCTTTAATTATTTATGGGTCAAATATTACTTTAAAGGGCTTCAAACGCCAAGATCCGGTCCTACGGCAATTCCCAACTTTCACCAGGTTCACAGCATGTTCGTATTTCATATGAAAATCTTTGATATCGACAAATCCATGAGTGTATTATGAAATTAGAAACCACCAGTTGGCTAAAAAACAAAAAAAAAATGTTGTACGTGACTTTGATCAAATTTGCCAAGCCAGAAAAGTCAAGGTCATTTTTAAGCCTCGTAAGGCAGTACTTTTCCGCTGAAACAACAACACTTTTTGAACTTCCAAAGTGTTTAATCGTACTTTTTTTGGTTTGTATCAGTAAAGTAGGCATTTGAATTTTATTTCAGAGGATATTTGTTAATTTTTCCGAAAAATTATGAAAATTTGGAGCCGTCTTTAAAAATCCACTCTTTGTAAGACTTGAAGAATGGACGTTTGAAGTCGGCACTTTCCGTAGTTTTCCGACAAACGCCGACGACCTGATACGAAACTGAGGCTTTCTAGTTTAGCGTCAGTAGCGGGTCTCTTGAACTGTGTTTGTGTTTTCGCCCAAGGTAAGTGTTTTGCAATGTTTTTTACCCCTTTTTTTTTGTAAGACTGCGACGACCGCGATTTGGCGACCGCGATATGAAAGCAAAAAACCCACTTCAACTCCTGTTTTCTTGACAGTTACAAGTAAATGATTATTTTTACGAGTGCAACATCGTATACCAGTTATCGATACATGACGCTAGCGGCTTTGTTGGTCAGTTAGCTGGTCATTGTCTCAACAGGACCTTCGAATGTTCAATTTCGGTACTTTTTAGTGCGGTCGTCCCAAGCCCAGTCTTACCATACATCGCGGTCGTCCCAAAGTGAGTCTTGTAATAGCGCGGTCGTCCCAAAGTGAGTCTTATAATAGCGCGGTCGTCCCAAAGTGAGTCTTATAATTGCGCTGTCATTTTGTTTGGACAAGAAGATGGTGATTTGGAATGATATTTTATGGCATTTTTATTTTCTAAAATCTTTAATAACGTGGTTTAGTGTTCTTGATTCCACGGAAATTAATTCCAAGTTGATTTAAATCTAATTTTGTCTAAATCTCTATTTCATATTCGGATAGATCTAGAATCTAGATGATACTCCATTGCTTTACTTAATTTCAAACATATCCCATTATATTTGCTGCACTGTCCATTTTAGATGCCTTCCAATTCCACCCAACTTCGCCATAAATGGAAAGCTGAGGAGCCTGAGAAGTATGAGGCTCATCTTGAGAAGGAAAGACTTCGATCCAAAGCGAGACGAGATGCAAAGAAGGCGAAATGGGACACCGAGCCCCATACAAGAGCTATGATAGCTGAAAAGGAGAAGGAAAGGGAGCAGAGAAGGTTTGTTTGTGTCCACAAGACATAATTAGCAACTCATTTAAATCTACTTTTGTGAATTTTTAGCTGGAGCAAATTTTTCTACAGCCAGTGGCAAACATTAAGCAACTCAATCCCAGCCCCCTTTTTCATGTACATGTGATGATGTAAAATGTTTTTGTTTTTTCAGCAGACATATGGGCAAACAATTTAATTTGTATATTTGAATCGTTGGTCACTATTTTCACACACCAGTACCATTTTGTCGTTTCCAGGATTCGAATGAAGAGAATGGCACAGAGGAGAAGAGCTGAAGAAAGGAGGGAGCTCCGCCGTGACTGCAACAGCTCAGTGGATGAGGACAGGCCAAAGAAGAAACCGAAGGACATGACTGAGGAGGAAAGACGAGCCCATGTTAATGAGCTCAGGCGCCAATCAAGAGCTCGTCAGAACCCCCAGAAAAAAAGATGGGCCAAAGTTAAAAATGCAGAGTATCAGAGGCAGTATAGAGAACGGCAAAAGGATTCGACACAAATGCAGCCTGCCACCACTGCCCCAGTGGCCCAGCCTCAACCAGCCCCAGTGTTCGCCTCACCCCCACCTTCCACCACAGCCCCAGAGTTCGCCTCGCCCCAGCCTCGCCCGGCCCCGGTGTTCGCCGCCTCACCCCCACCTTCCACCACAGCCCCAGAGTTCGCCTCGCCCCAGCCTCGCCCGGCCCTGGTGTTCGCCGCCTCACCCCCACCTTCCACCACAGCCCCAGAGTTCGCCTCGCCCCAGCCTCGCCCGGCCCTGGTGTTCGCCGCCTCACCCCCACCTTCCACCACAGCCCCAGAGTTCGCCTCGCCCCAGCCTCGCCCGGCCCCGGTGTTCGCCGCCTCACCCCCACCTTCCACCACAGCCCCAGTGTTCGCCTCGCCCCAGCCTTTGCCCCCAGCAGTGTGTTCCTCCCCCCATCTTCGTCCTGTCACTACCCCAGTATTTGCCTCCTCATTCCTCAACGCTCTGGACTTATCAACATCAGTCCCCAGACAGTCCCCGCTTCCTGTAACATCAGCTGCACCGCCCTCAACAACTCCCATAAGGGCGAGTAAAACAATGAGGAACTTGTCATCGCACATTAAATCGGACATTAAAAAGAGAGTGAGAACCCCTGAGGAGTATGCCCATGTTGTGCGACACCTGGCGACTCCCAGGACTCCAGAAAAGAGGAGGGCCCTACTTGCTGTAGGGGTACAGCAGCAAGTCGATAGGCCATTACGACCTGTGCCTCCGCAGAAGGTACAGCCCAGTAGAAGGAAGCGTACTCCATCACTGGTTCAGACTCGAGCTTTCCGTGATGTGCAGGTAACGACTTTCAATATTTCTTTTAACCTTTTCATTCGTACGTATATATATGAATGAAAGTTATTACTACCAATCTAAGTGGGGTCCTACTTTTGTGTCTAGGTATGTTTTTTTTCTGCCCATTCATTGATGGGCATCCAGCAACACTTTTGTGAAATGACCTTTGATGTTTTGAAAAGCATTTCAGTATTTGAAGACAAAACTTGACTGTCACATACACTGCATTTCACTTTGAATGAAGTTTTCAAATGGAATTTTGTCATCAATAATCATTTCAATGGATTGTCCATGTTGCTAAAATATTCACTTCATAATTTATCCGCAGGCTTTCTATCTGCGGCAGGATGTGGCCAGAGTTTTGCCTCATAAGAGGTATGCCACGAAGGCTGGCCCAGGGCGGATCATGCTGATGACGCTAAAAGAGGCCTTCATTTTGTTCAAGGTACATATTTTAGGAAACCTCTCTACATTTGATCTTCTTTATTAGCTATTGGTAATTATTTCAAAAGGCATGCGTTTCTGAACAAAAACTTTTGGTCTCTTACATCAAATCAAGAATTCATATTGTCTATATTATGTGAAAACATTTTGTTCAAGTAATAATGCCATTTTTATTATTTTGGTTTCCTTTCAGAAGGAGAATCCAGATGCCGCAGTTGGATTCACGAAGTTCACCACCCTCCGCCCAAAGACAGTCCGACTGATTGGGCAAGGCACAGCGGAGACATGTGCATGCATGTACTGCCTCAACGTCCGGCTAAAAATAGAGGTCCTCAATCGAGTGATGGCTCGCAATCTAGAAGATTTCCGGATGCCGCCTGAAACTCGATTGTTGGACCTTCTATTGTGTCCTAAGGAAGCAGGCAGTGACTGGCACCACCCTGCTTGCCTAGAAGGTAGGCCTATGTTTTGTTGTGTCATTCATTGTTACTCTTATTGCAAGTCGCCTGTTAGACAAGAATTTGAACAAAGGAAAGGATACTTTTAACTGCCTATTTTTATATTTTACAATTTTGGTTACAGGAAAATGCAGTCAATGCCAGGACCCGTCAAACTTCCTACAAGGACAGTTTGGCCGTTATGAGGCCACCATCACTCCCTGGCAGCATTGGGAGCGCATATCCAAGGAGGGGAGAATGAGGCTTGAACTTCTGACCAAGCAAGGGACTCTGGAGTAAGTTTCTTATGAGCTGAATTATTTTGAGCCCAATTTTCCAGGTCCTGTTTTATTTATTAATTGTAGAAAGCACTGAAGTATTATGAAAGGTTTTGATACTTTAATAAAGATATTTGCAGGTAACCATGGTTATGTTCAACCTCTATAGTTTCTTGTTTGGACCTTCAGCTGAGATGTAAAACCACTTTCTAGGAAAGGTGGAAAATAAAATACACACTCCCTTTAATTTTGAAAATGACACTAAATAGTATAATGTTCTCTCCCACAGCACTGAAAGCAGTATTAACTTTGCTTGATTGATGGTTTATTATTTCAACCATATTCCACTTTCTTTGACAGGGAACTCCTGGAGGAGTTCATAAGAAAGGACCTCCTCCAGCCAACCCAGGGAAACACCTTTGTTCGCCACCTCCACACCTTTTGGCAGTACCGCCAGTACTGCCATCTGAAGGACACCCTTCAGGCAGACGAAGCAATCATGGTGATGGACTTTGCCGAAAATAGGAAAGCCTCATATACCGTTGAGGTGAAGAGTGCCCATTTCGGCAAGTCTCAGATCACCATGCATCCCATCGTCTGCTTCTACCGAAGTGGTGAAGGACTAGTGAGGCACAGCATGGTTTTCATGTCAGACGATATTTGTCATGATTATCATGCTGTGCATCATTTCACTGTGATGTCCTTGGAGGCTTTGGCCAAGGCAGCCCCCACTGTACAAAAAATGTACATTTTCAGCGATGGCTGTGCTGGCCAGTACAAAGGAAAGGGCACCTTTGCTGACCTTAGCCTGTACACTGGTAAGAAAATATTTTCATCGGTTGTGCGGTCTTATCCCGCTCTTTGTCTTTTCTATGTTGTTGGCTTTTTTTTTTTTTTCAATATAAATTTATGCCCTTTTTGTTAAAAAGTACCCACATCTCGCATACATGAATTATGATGTACTCTGTGCCCCTATTTCATCACAACATTGAGATATTTCAGGTACAGTTCTACTGTTTTCCCTTCTCAGGCCAAAAGATACAGCGCATTTTCTTTGGGTCAGAGCATGGGAAAGGGGAGGCTGACGGTGAGACTGGGGTCATCAACCAGGCTGTGGACCGGGCGGTGACCTCAGGGAAGCTCACCGTCAAGGATGCTGGAGACCTCTTTGCCTGGTGTAACAGAGAGCTGGTCAGATCTCTGGACGGTTTCCGACGGGAATTCTTCCTGGTTGGAAAAAATGAAATCCTAAGGGACCGTCCAGAGACTGATGTGATCACCATCCCTGGGACCCGGAGGATCCACCAGGCGGAGAGGGTCTCCAACTACATTATAAGGACAAGGACGCTGGCATGCTTCTGCCCTGCCTGTCGAAGGGATGAAGGTGGATGCCACAACCAGGCATATGTGGGCACCCACATTATCCACAAGATCCGACCAAGGTGAGGGATAATTTTTTCCTATAAAACTAATGATAATAATAATTTCTACCTCTACTGATGTTTGCATGAACTCATTGATATTTACATGTGTGTGTGTGTGTGTAGTGTGTGTGATGTAAAGCAACTTTTTGTATTTTTGTTTTATGAAACAGCCACCCCAGTGTCCTTAACGAGGCATTTTTGGAGGACCCAGAGCCTTCTACTTCCCAGCACAAGGAAACGGAGTCCACCACCTTGGATCGAACTGAGCCAAGGATTGGCGACTTCGTTTCAATTACATACACTGTTGGAAGGAAGCAACTCATGTACAATGCTGTTGTAAGTTTTTCTTTTCTTTGTCTGAATTGTACATTTTTCAGTGGAAATTTTTTTTCTGTTTCATTGGGGTTTTTTTTGTTTTGTTTCAGCTTGACATTTGTTTACCATGTTTCATTTTTGTTTTTGTTTTTTCAGTTCAACACTTTTTTGCCATGTTTTGTTTGTTGTTTGTTTTTGTTTTTCAGTTCAATATTTCTATACGTTTCCCTTTTTTTTTTTGCAGGCAGATATTTCTCTATTTTTTTTTCCATTGTTTCATTTCATTATGTAATCCACTAAACAGTTATAATAATCAATGTTTTATCCTTCGAAATTGGTGTTAAAATCCATGCCATACCTATTTTATCATATGGAGACAACTGGTGATTTTAAATTTAGTCTTGATAAAAGAATAGATTTCAAAAGTCGCAATTTTGATTAAAGTCTTTTATATGGGTAAATCTCTATAATTCTTTCCATTTCTTTTTTGCAGGTCATTCCACCACAAGAGGTTCTAGAGGATGGAGAGCTCCTTGTTTCCTTCATGAGGAAACAAGGGGCTTCTTTCATTTTCCCTCATGTACCAGAGATATGTGTAGTACACCTCGAGGAGGTTGTGGTCCTCCACCCTCCGACTATAGACAATCGGGGGAGACATTTTTTTGATTAATTTTTTTTTTTGAATGTTTTTTGTTGTTGTATTTGGTGGGGAGGGTGTTATTGAATATTGGAATACAAAATCTTTTCAACTGTGGCTGTGTTTTCATGGATTGTGATGTTCTTTCTGAAACTTTGGATTATTTTGGACGTTGCGGAAATTCTGAGGTGAGGTTGCTTTTTTGTTAATATTTTTTTTCCTGAACCTTTGCTGACTCTTTAGTTCACATATTTGAATTCCCCTTTGAAAGAGCTTTAATTTGATATATGATACATCTATCTGGACAAAGATTGAAAAAATCAAAAAAATTTTGAAAAGTGGGAAATCTGTGGGACCTTACCGTGAAATCTGCCATATAAGTGTCGAAGACTAGAGGTGTTACAAGAGAGTAACAAACACAAAAAAGGAGAGGAGGTAAGGATGATAGACGTTAAGATAGGAAAGAAGAAGCAAACGACACCAGAGCGCCCACCAACCACCCACTGACACAGTGTTGGAAAAACAAAAACAAGAGTCAGCCAGCCAGACAGACAAATCACCGGTGCCGCGCCCTCACCTGTGTGTAAGTCTTGTGCTCAATCAGTTTCTCGGTGGCGCGGTGCAGCAGTCCTACGTGCGGGTCAGCGCGCACCACCGTCTCCCCCTCCAAGGTCAGCACCAGCCGCAGCACGCCGTGAGCCGCCGGGTGCTGGGGGCCAAAGTTCAAGGTGATGTTCTCCACTTGCTTCTCCGTCTCTGCCACTCTCACTGTGGGGGAGACCACGGAGGGGGGGGGGGGGGGAGATAGAACAGTCAATAAACAACGGTTTGGTGAATATCTTAACAATAAAGACACAAGACTCAAATAACACATGTACACATGTTTAGTTTCAGTAAAGTTTTACAGTGCTCGCGACTGCATAAGGTCATATTTATAAGTGCCAAAGATTAGAGGTGTTACAAGAGAGTAACAAACAAAAAAGGAGGAGAGATAAATGAATGATGTATGATAAGACAAGTCAAGACAAGACAAGACAGATAAGATTATTATATCTTATAAAATAAGACAAAGATAAGATAAGAAATTATCCTTTGCTTTACAGAATAAATAAATAATTGTAGATATCCATAAAAGACTTACACTGTATTACTTACACAAAAGTATTTCAAAATATTTATTAAAAGAGAAATGTGAAAGCTGACAATAAATACATTACAAGTCATATTATATCAGAAGCATCTCAGACATTATCACAGTTTTTTGAAAGTTAGAGGGGGCTATCAGAAAATCGCCAGCCATCAACTTTGCTATGCACACAGGCATTGTTTTATTTTTCTTTGGTTTAAAGTGTTTTACGGCGCTCCCAACAGCATACAGTCATATGAGTGCGCAGGACACATTTAACATTTTCAGTTGGTAGGAAACTTTTAATTTTCCCGGGTGGTGGCCGAAGCCTACTCTATCAATTTAAGACCACCAAGAGATCTTTAACGTGCAAACTAGCACACGGGACCTCCGAGATTATTTGCCCTTGTCCGAGAAAGCTAGGGGTAGGGGGTGGGGGCAGAAAGCAGACGACAGAACATTGCGAGAGAACAGGAAAGGAGATGAAAGTAGAGGAGACAATTTTAGAGAAGACAATTTTTCTGTCGCTACCCGGATGCGAACCCGGGACCTTTGAACAAGAGAGGAACACCTTAACCTGTAGGCCACGAGAGCCCCCAGGGACAGCAGGAAGTACGTACAGTTGTAGGCCGGCAGCTCCCACTCTGTCTCAGGAGGAACCAGGTATGGCTTCTTGAACTGCTCCATGTACTCGCCGTCCGGCATCCACGTTTTACTCGCATGGCTGCAGAAGAAGAGACAAACCAATTGTATAGAGTGTACACGACACCATCTATAAGTCAATTTATTTCCATACATCTAGTATCTATTCTAGATCTAGTAGATCTACCTAAAAATAAAGTGCAGAGTATGGTTTCAGCTGTCGAAAAAAATTACACCCACAAGTCAAGATATTCCGGTTGTAGCCCCAATGATAACTATGGACAATGGAGTGTGGAGTTTGGTTCCATTGACGACTTGTTCTGCTTCTAAATGCAAATAGGCCTAGATCTAGAATCTAGATCTATATCTAATCTATTTTTTGATGCGTGTGTGCTGATATAATATTAATACGATAGTTGACGCACGGTGAGCGAGAGATTTTAAACCTAATTGCAAAACATCAAATTGTGGTTAAATTGACACCCCCCCCCTATTTTTATAAAAGATCTGGGAGGCAGCAGCCCCCCCCCCCCCCCTGAAAATCACCTTGTTAAAATTTTTTTAAACAAAACAAAACATCCTACTGCTCTACTGAACTGAGCAGCGCATCTCCGAAAGACTAGACTAGGCCTAGATATCTAGACTAGACCTCTTCAAAACCGGAGAATACCAATAGGTCAACTTTCAGGAGAAAGCTGGTGTTTAGAATCTTGAGGACTTGAGTTTCAATACACTGTGTCTATCATTTTACAGGAGATCCTTTTTTTGGTTCCTAACTCAAAGCAAGTTCTGATTCTGATTTTTCGCTTTTTACAGCCAAGGTCAAGCAAGCGAAATGGTTAGGAAAAAGACAAAATAAAAGATTTGAAAATGTTGTGCTCTTAAACAAGTTATTAATATCCATACCGGACTGATGAAACAGCTGGTGCATGAGAAAGCACTGCCTTTCGCAGAAAAATAGAAGGGCCAACTTTTCGTAACACACTGCTAAGAGCAGCCATTTTGACAGACGAAAGCCGAAAACCTACGACAGCGCGGCCAGATTTTTCCAGCTACAGTAGTATGAAAATTTGATAGCTTTCAGCCATGCAAAAGTCTAATCTTGTTTTATTTCATCTCACATTTTCAAATAAAACCAGATATATAGAGTTTCAATATAGTCATGCAGAGAACAATAGGGGCCTATACTTTTACAGTTTTTGTAGTTTAAGAAAATTTATCACTACAACAACTTGTTTCAGGAATTTACAAAACACAACTATCAAATTGCCAAGTTGGCAGACCAAAAACGAACCATAACACAAGGGAGACGACCGTAAATATTCGTCCTCAAAGAAAAGGCCACTTACACAATTCGTCCTCAAAGAAAAGGCCACTTACACAATTCGAAGATTAACATAATAATCTACTACATGTATTATCTAAAAAGCTTTCGTTTAGTTATTTTCTTCCACAATTAGGAGGAAATGAGCTCAGGAACTTTGAAAACCTTATTCACTTACGTTTTCTCGTCTGCTTCAAAACAAATGATTTTTTTCAGCATTAGGGCCTACAATCTAGCATTAAAATAGAGACACACATAAATATATAGGTACATTCATAACTTAGCCTACTTAGAAGGGACTTGAAAAATATATTATAATCAAACTTTTTTTTGCAGCCTTTAAGTCTAAGTATAGGCCTATTTTTTCTTTGGTTGTCGTGCCTCGCTTCGGCAATGATGATCACGACGATGCCCTTCCAAAAACAATCAATAATAAACAATCAAACAAACATAAACGAACAATAACATTTAAAAAAAATTAAAAATAACAGAAACAACACCAATCCCCCCCAAAAAAAAACAAACAAACAAACAAAACAACAACAAACAACCCCAACCAAACATAAAACCCCGCCCGGAGAAAAATCGAT